GCTACGCCGGATAGCGCCTGTTATAACCCTCAGGAGACGCCTGCAACGCGCCTCCATCCGTGCGCCCACCAGCCTCCGGCGTACCTGTGCTGCAGGCCGCAAGAGGAGAGCCTCAGCAGCAGCCTGCAGTCTCTGGAGTGCCTCATCGGCGAGATCCACCCGCCTTGCATCAAGGAGCACATGCTGGGACGAGGATACGAGCCGCACCTTCAGCTGCCCGTGTTGAGATAGGACGCTTCACTGCAAAACATTATTCTCTTACTTAGTATTTTTGTCTTGTTTACTAGTATAAATATCTAAAAATTCTTGAATCAAGATGCATTTACTGTACAAGTAAAATGACGTAAGATATTATGTAAAAAAAATATATATATATATCCAAATCTTGTTTAGCCTTTGAATTAAGATTATTTTTCTTACCCCATTGGCAGATATTTGTGCTTGTTTTAAGCAAAAACGTAACAAATTTTTTTTTATTTTTTAGAAAACAAGATTTAATATCTTAAGTCCTTTTACTTGTACAGTAAATGCATCTTGATTCAAGAATGTTTAGATATTTATACTAGTAAACAAGACAAAAATACTAAGAAAATAATTTTTTGCAGTGTTGTGAGATAGGATAAGTGTAAAGGGTAAAGGTCATTGCACACGGAGTTCGAAATGTTTTATGCGTTTTTGGTTTTTTTCGTATTTGTCATCCTTTCCTATCAAAATGCTTGCTACGGATGCGAAAACGCAGAAAATAGAACCTGTTCCGAATTTTTTTATGACGGATGAAAGTTTCGGAGGCAGTGTGTAAACGTGAATGACACACCGTGAGGTCGTATATATTTCTTTAATGTGCAAAAATTTCGGACAAGAATTTCGGACTCTTTGTGCAAAGACCTTAACAGTAATCCACACTGACCTGAAGGGTTGTATGGTGCTGGATTTAAGAGACACTGGATCCTTTTCAATCATTAATGGGTACTGTGTTCATCAAGCTAGGGTCACTTTTCAGAAATGGTTTGAAGAGTTCGAGAGCTTTTCTAAGGCCTTTTTCACACATCAGCTCACAAAATAAATAAAAAATTCCTATCATACACTGCCTTTCAAAAGTTTGGGGTTGTAATGTTTATGAAAGAAGTCCCTTCTGCTCACCAAAGCTGTTTATTTGATCAAAAATACAGTAAAAATCTGAAATATTATTATAATGTAAAACAGCTGTTTTCTATGTGAATATCTGTTAAACTGTAGTTTATTCCTGTGATGTGCAGCTGTATTTTCAGCATCATTACTCCAGTCTTCAGTGTCACATGATCTTCAGAAATCATTCTAATATGCTGATTTGCTGCTCAAGAAACATTTCTGATTATTATCAATGTTGAAAACAGATGTGCTGCACAATATTTTTATGGAAACCATGATACATTTTATTTTTCAGGATTCACAGATGAATAGAAAGTTCAAAAGAACAGCATTTATTTGAAATAGAAATCTTTTGTATCGTTATAAGTGTCTTTACTGTCACTTTTGATTCATTTAATGCAGCTTTGATGAATAAGTCATAAATGTACCCCAAACTATTGAAAAAAAATCTAATTATTAAAAACTGTCCTCATTGTGTTCAAAAGCCAAACCCCAAAACATCAAATGTTTTTTAGCAAACCATGTTAATGTTACTTTTTTAAAGGCTGCATTGCAAAAGATTGTAATAAATATTTATAGTGCATTCTCACTGTATTTTGCTATTATTTTCACTCTTTCCTGCTGATATCAGTCACTGTTCACTGTGAAAACAGCCTCGGTTGTGAAACTCTGATCCTGTAAGCTGTTTGCAGCAGAAATTACCCTGAACCGCTCACATGTGATGTGTGAAACAGACCTGAATCTCTCTTCAGACCGTTGTGCTGAAGGTGATTTGGAAGCACAGGTGATTCAGTTGCAAAAGATTCAGAAGCGCAGGTGATTCAGTAGCGCAGGTGATTCAGAAGCGCAGGTGATTCAGTAGCGCAGGTGATTCAGAAGCGCAGGTGATTCAGTAGCGCAGGTGATTCAGAAGCGCAGGTGATTCAGTAGCGCAGGTGATTCAGAAGCGCAGGTGATTCAGTAGCGCAGGTGATTCAGAAGCGCAGGTGATTCAGTAGCGCAGGTGATTCAGAAGCGCAGGTGATTCAGTAGCGCAGGTGATTCAGAAGCGCAGGTGATTCAGTAGCGCAGGTGATTCAGAAGCGCAGGTGATTCAGTAGCGCAGGTGATTCAGAAGCGCAGGTGATTCAGTAGCGCAGGTGATTCAGAAGCGCAGGTGATTCAGTAGCGCAGGTGATTCAGAAGCACAGGTGATTCAGTAGCGCAGGTGATTCAGAAGCGCAGGTGATTCAGTAGCAAAAGATTCAGAAGCACAGGTGATTCGAAAGCGCAGGTGATTCAGTAGCAAACGATTGCTTAAGATTCGGAAGCGCAGGTTCACTCTGATGACACACGGAAAGCGCAGGTGATTCAGAAGCACAGGTGATTCAGTAGCGCAGGTGATATGAAAGCGCAGGTGATATGAAAGCACAGGTGATTCGAAAGCGCAGGTGATATGAAAGCGCAGGTGATTCAGTAGCGCAGGTGATTCAGAAGCACAGGTGATTCAGTAGCGCAGGTGATTCAGTAGCGCAGGTGATTCAGAAGCACAGGTGATTCAGTAGTGCAGGTGATTCAGTAGCGCAGGTGATTCAGAAGCACAGGTGATTCAGTAGTGCAGGTGATTCAGTAGAGCAGGTGATTCAGTAGCGCAGGTGATTCAGAAGCACAGGTTATTCAGTAGTGCAGGTGATTCAGTAGCGCAGGTGATTCAGTAGCGCAGGTGATTCAGAAGCACAGGTGATTCGAAAGCGCAGGTGATTCAGTAGCAAACGATTGCTTAAGATTCGGAAGCGCAGGTTCACTCTGATGACACACGTCCTGAAAGCTGCTGGTGTGTCACTTTATCAAGTTCTCAGATGTTGAACGGCAGACTCAAACTATCAGAATTTACCTTCTCAGACTAGCTGCCAAAAACACGACAGGAAGTGACATGCGTGTTTATCCTGTGCCGTTTACTTCAATCACTGCAACACGTTCACATTCACTAACTCTCATAAAAGCAGTTATGATTTTTCCTGTGTTGTAAATCATTGACGATGTTTCTGGCACGAGTCGTTCATAGAAACACTTAATTTAAATGGAAATAAATGCATATTTTTACTCTTATGTTTGTTGCTGCCAACAGGATGACATTCATATTTATAAGATTCTTTATTTTTTATCTAAAGCGTTTCATGTTTGTCCTCAAATCCTCACAATCAGAATGTGATTTCAGATGGATTCTGCTGTTCTGATGATGATGATGATGATGAAGTTTGTTTTGATCTGCTGATCCTCTATGAAGCTGTGATGTATGGTCAAGGTCATAACTCTCTTACCTGTTATTAATTACCACAGGAACCCATTAATATCTCATATATTTGATTCCTTTTGTTCTATTTATTGATATTTGAATCAGGTGTCTGAGATCTGAGGTTTTGTCATGTTCGTGTGTGTGTGTGTGTGTGTGTGTACGTGTGCGTGCGTGTGTTCGTGTGTGTGTGTGTAAAGCGGCACACTGTAGGCTCGACGTTTAAAAGTGCAATTATACTGTCTGCAAACGAGCTTCAGTGATGATTTACTATGTGTGACTGTCTGACTGAATCTGCTTCACCAATAAGATTGTCAAATAAATATAATTTAGGAATGTTTTCTATTCCTGCTGGTCTGTTTGTCGTTATTTTAAGCGCACAACAAAACATGCACATTTTAATCACGCCGCTGAAGCCTTTCAAACACCGTCAGATGCACATGATACAATCATTTTTCTCATACATCTAAAAAAGCAGTGTACACTATTGTCAAATGTGAAGATTTTAGATTTTAAGCTAAAATACACAAGGTTTAAATGTGCTGCAATGAAGATGAAAAAGTTAATAGTCTTGAAAAATAGGCCTAATTTTATTGATGTAAAATAAAATTTCTAACTTTTGATTTTGGAGTGAAATTTTCTTTAAAAAATTTTTTTTTTTTCTTTTTCATTTTTGAGTTGAAATTTTTCAAATACAGCAAAATACATGCTTTTGGGAAGAAATATTCTTGATGCAAAAATGGTTTATTTTATTATTTTTCCTTTTGAATTTTGGGGTGAAATTCTCTTGATGCAAATATAATTCTTTTGATGTATTTATTTATTTTTCATTTGGATTTTGGGGTTAAATGTGGCTGTTCATGACAGTCTGGTCTGTTTGTTCGCCGTGTTTGTATGTCAGATGTTAGCACAGTCCCTCATCAGGTCAGGTGTCTTTATCGGCCCCGGGGCCTGCAGCTAACCTGCAGCTTTGAGTGTGACTTGAGCATCTCCTCATCCTCCTTTGCTCGTGAAATGTTTGCAGGCGTGTTGTAGAGGTGAAAAACATAAATGAATAAAACAAGGCGACTTCTGGAAGGCACAATAATTGAGATGAGCACCACGACAGACCTTATTAAATCCCTGCAAACCTCATAATATTAAAGCAATAATAGCTTCAGCAGTAGATGAGATGATTCGAGAAATGCACCAAAGCGACTGAGATGAACTGTAACCCATTTAATCCCACCGGTCACAATACTGACCGTAAAGAAGGTTTTCATTTATAAAGCTCTAAAAGTGTTACTGAATGGTGTTTTAGTGCATTTCCTGCAAATCTGGAAAAAACAAAGGGTCTCATTTACAGTTTTTCTCAGTCGCTTTAGTGCATTTATTGAATCAAATGCATCAAAGCTCCAAAACGAAAGGCTTGTATGTTAACATAAAGATATGACAAAGATTTTCGGTACATGTTATGAATTCACAATTATTACGTTTTGTTGAGTGTGGTCACAGAATGAGTGAACATGCTGATGTTGTAGAGGTGAAAAACATAAATGAAAAATGAATAAAACAAGGCGACTTCTGGAAGGCACAATAATTGAGATGAGCACCATGACAGACCTTATTAAATCCCTGCAAACCTCATAATATTAAAGCAATAATAGCTTCAGCAGTAGATGAGATGATTCGAGAAATGCACCAAAGCGACTGAGATGAACTGTAACCCATTTAATCCCACCGGTCACAATACTGACCGTAAAGAAGGTTTTCATTTATAAAGCTCTAAAAGTGTTACTGAATGGTGTTTTAGTGCATTTCCTGCAAATCTGGAAAAAACAAAGGGTCTCATTTACAGTTTTTCTCAGTCGCTTTAGTGCATTTATTGAATCAAATGCATCAAAGCTCCAAAACGAAAGGCTTGTATGTTAACATAAAGATATGACAAAGATTTTCGGTACATGTTATGAATTCACAATTATTACGTTTTGTTGAGTGTGGTCACAGAATGAGTGAACATGCTGATGGTCAGATAGTGAGCGGTGGGATAACACAGTGCATATAACACCAGCTGCAGCTGTTACACTAAACTGTAGCAATGACAACGCTACAGTGAATATTGCACTAAATTCAAAGTTTAAATGTTACAAATTAACTTACAGTATTGATGATGTAATACTGGTAGCACTAATATAACAATTTTGTTGACATGTTTCAATAAAGTAACAATTTTGAAATACGTTGATGGTTGTATTTTTTAATATTTATTTTTATAAGGGTTTTTATGCGTAGTAGGAACACTAGAATGGGATGAAACGAGTTTAAAATAGCTGAGCTGAGATATATACACATTTTGATGACTGCAGTAATATGTTAATTCATTATACACATTATCGGTCACACCGGTCACAATTTTGACTGACCATAAAACACAAATTTTAACACTTTTCAAAAAAAAAAAAATTATAATTATATATATATATGATTATTTCAAAGAGTTACTAATGACACATCATTTGGATATTTTCATGTCTGGGAAAAAATTGGGATTAAACGGGTTAATGAACATTACTTGATCATAAAGCAGTGAACCTCAGTTGTTAAATATCTATAAATAATAAATAAAATATACCACTATCCAATATCAAGACACAGAGATATTATTTTACAATCTAAAACTCTTTAAATAAATTAATGCTCGTATACAAATGCGACAAAAAATGCTAATACTTTAAGTTTCAGTTTATTGGATGTTTTAAGCTTATAGAAAATTCTGAACAGTTTGCACTGATTGTTTTCTTTTTTTTCTTGAACATATTTTATTTTTATAAACTGTAGCCTAAATTAAGCGTTCTTCAAAGTTAATTTACTTTGAGCTCATGCTAGCCAGCTGATATCATTTATGTAAATATCTAATTAATGATCATGTGAGCTGATGAAAGTTCAGAAGTTCAGATAGTCAGCAGCAGGAGGCGCTCTGACACCATCAGCTTTGATTCATTCATTAAACACACGTGTCCCTGCAGCACAAAAGCAGTGTTAAGTCGCTGGGGTATATTTGTAGCAATAGCCAACAATACATTGTATGGGTCAAAATTATACATTTCTCTTTTACGCCAAAAATCATTAGGATATTAAGTAAAGATCATGTTCCATGAAGATATTTTGTACATTTCCTACCGTAAATATATCAAAACTTAATTTTTGATTAGTAATATGCATTGCTAAGAACTTCATTTGAACAACTTTAAAGATGATTTTCTCAATATTTAGATTTTTTTGCACCCTCAGATTCCAGATTTTCAAATAGTTGTATCTCAGACAAATATTGTCCGATCCTACCAAACCATACAGCAATGGAAAGATTATTTATTCAGCTCCTTATGACTGATTTTGTGCTCCTGGGTCACATTTAATGTCATTATTTTTTGAGCTTCAACTTTCCATCTTTAAAACGTTCATACCATTCAGTTTATTAATGAAAAGAAAATGTCAAATAATTATGTAGCTATAAATAAACATTTTTACTAATGTAATTTTAATATCAGTATCTGGCATCTATTTTCACATCATCTGCGTCTCAAGGGGGCGGGGATTATAACAATATTAAAATGCAGCGAAACTCCGTAGCCAATAAAAAGCGGAATATGCTAATGAGCTGTTAACAGCTGTGACACCGGAGTCCAGCTGCAGTTAGCGAGGAGCGGAGCCGTTAACTCTCTCAAACTGACCGGATTTTATCATGGACACCACGGTAACCTCGTTAAAAACGGCTGTCGGTGTGGTTTAACGCGAAGTGCTCTGTAGATGAGTTCGCGGTGAAGGAGTCGGTAATAATGTTCCGCTTGTTCTCGCTGGCGGCGGCGGAGCGCGGCGGACAGAAGCGGCGGCTCGAGCTCAGTCTGGCGGGGATCTGTGAGCTCGAGCTGCTCAAGCGGCGGCACGAGGCGCTGGTGGCCGGTGCGCTCGCGCTGCACTCTCCCGAACCCGAACCCGAACCCGAGCCGAAGAAAGCCGAGCGGCCGAGCGAAGAGCCGACCCCGCCGGTAAGACTTGTTACAGTGTCAGGAAGGATACTTTGGAAATGTAACAGGTTGCAGATATTTATGTTGTATTTAAATTACGTAAATCTGTTACATGTATCTAGTTCAGTGCTAAAAATGATTCTCTTACTTAGTATTTCTGTCTTGTTTACTAGTATAAATATCTAAACATTCTTGAATCAAGATGCATTTACTGTACAAGTGATATTTTGGCTTGTTTTTTTTAGAGAAAACAAGACATAATATATTAAGTTATTTCACTTGTACAGTAAATTCATCTTGATTCAAGAATGTTTAGATATTTACACTAGAAAACAAGACAGAAATACTAAGTAAAGTATTTTTTGCAGTGTTCCTCCCCAACACTGGTTATATATTCAGTTATGAAGGGAAGGTTACTTTGGAAATGTAATAAGTGTAACTATTTCAATTACTTTGTTAAAGTAATGTAACTGATTACATTTGATTACTTTTGTACATTTCGAACAAATGTTTTTAACTGTTAATTAGGGCTGCACGATTATGACAAAAATCATAAAAATAAACGGTATTATAGTGTTATACAATGGAAAAACCCTTAAGATGACACGTAGAAAGAAAAAAAAGCATCTTAAGCACACAGAATAACATAAGTGGACTTTGAACGATTACGTAATTGTGGCATTCCGTAATTGTAATCGCGATTAGAAATTCGATTAATTGTGCAGCCCTACTGTTAATCATTTTGAAACATGTAAAGCAGACAGGGTTAATATTACAGTAGAGCTCAACACTGATTACTGCCAGATTTACAGAATCCTTCATCACTTCAATTCAGATTATAATCATTTAATTCAAAGCACAGCCACCACAAAATCAGACTTTAGCACATTATACAGATTTAAAATCATAACAAGATATAGTTTAATAGCTATGATACTAGGTTTGAAATCAAATGTTTGCGTAGTTATGACCGGAAACACTGGCATCAATGGTTTGGAAAAAACTGTTAATCTAAAAAATAAAAAATACACATAAACCCAGATAGAAAATAAAAGTTATTGAATAAGCATGTGTCCTAAACTCCTGAAACATTGCTATCTCATATTTTAGAGCAGTCACTGCAATTTATTAAAGAAATCAATTAAACATGTATGTGGGTGTGTGTGTGTGAAAATATTCAGATGTAACCCCCTTTCTGAACAATTTTCATTTAATTACACATTTTCCTTCAGTAGCTGATTGCAGTTACATTTATTTTGTAAATAAATTACATAATTTCGTTACATGTAACTAGTTACTCCCCAACACTGGTTATATATATATATATATCACAAAAACTTTAAAGGTGCTTAAACAGATTAGTGAATGAGTTTAATTAATTGAAAAATTTGGATTTTTTTTGTCTCAAGAAATTGCTGGAAAATTTCTAAATAAATTACAATAATAATAATAACAACAAGAAACACATGGATTTAAACATGAAATTTGGAAGTAGAAACAATATTTTCTTGTAAAACACTGCAATAATCATAGTTTTATATACAACTTCAAAAAAAAAAATTTTTTACAGTAACTTTCATATTCTTCTGAGAAACATTTGTTGAAGTTTGTAGAATATATCATGAGCAGAACGCAAGAAAACCTTCACATTCCTCAGAGAAACATGTTCATTTGTCATCGGTGATTTATTGGCCCACAGAAGACTAATGTGGTTGGGAAGCTAAAAAGTTTGGTTTCAGAGATTTATTACACAAAGAGAAAGTGTTTTGTTAAATTTCTCACAGGACTTCGGCTGTCAGGAAAGAGGTTTGTGTGTTTCCTCCTCCATCGAAACAAACAGGACATTAATAATAAAGCGTCATCATTCATAGATCAGATTCAAACAGCAGGTCAGTGAGAGTCTCTGCAGTCAGTATGGAAACCAGAAAGAGCCTCTGAACCAGTTTACAGCAGTTCTGGACCAGTGAAATGAACTGAAATGACCTAAACCTGCTGGATTATTGTACAGTATACATCATATTGGCCTTGTGCTGTCGTTCTCTTGCCGTGTTTTGCTGAAGGCTGGAGGTGTTGGGCTTTAGTTTGAGACCAGATTGACCTGATGGTGTTTGATGAGGGTCTGGATCTGAACAAACCTCATCTGTTCTAAACAAGGGGCTGGACACACACACTCACACACTCTCTCTCACACACACACACACACACACACACACACTCTCACACTCTCACACACACACACACACACACACACACACTCTCACTCACACACACACACACACTCTCTCT